GGCCAGCCTGGTCTACATAGCGAGTTCCAGGACAGCTGGGGCTATAGGGAGACCCTGTCTCAAAAAGACAAAAAAAAGAAAGAAAGAAAGAAAGAAAGAAAGAAAGAAAGAAAGAAAGAAAGAAAGAAAGAAAGAAAGAAAGAAAGAAAGAAAGAAAGCGAGCTTAAGGAAGCCAGATGTGGTGGCACATGCCCTTAATCCAAGCACCTGGGAAGCAGAGGCAGGTGGATCACTCTGAGTTTGAGGCCAACCTGGTCTACACACTGAGTTCCAGGCCAGCTAGGGCTACAGGTAAATAAATAAATAAATAGAATTTAAGGGGTTGCTGTTGGATCTCTCATCACAGCGTCTCCATTTGTGGGCAGCCAACATTACTAAAATCATCTGAAATTCATCTTAGCCCATCTCTCCACTGAAATTGAGAAGAATCTCTATTATTTAAAATACCAAGCTAGCCACAACTGTGTAGGAAAACTGTCTGAAAACACCAAGAGGTTGCACTGACAAGTTCAGACAGAAGATACTGGGTTGACAGTGTTTCTCACGATCCAGTGCCACCAGACCACAATCTTCATCAAAGCCTAGGGGTTGAGCTTTGAGCTGGCACTGAAGCGCATGCTCCAGCAACCCCTGGAGCAGCGGCAGCACAAACACTACCAACTCATTGATGATGGAAAAGTGCTGGGCAAATACAGCTTCATCAGCCAGCCAGCATAGCTCCACACTCCAGCCACAGCAGGCCTCACAGGACTCTGCAGTGAGGGCCTCACAATTACACGCAAAGACCCATTTCCTCCAGTGAAAGAAATAGTAGGTGAAATGGCTATCAGCCACAAAGCCTGAGTTCCAACCCTGGGACCCTCAAGGTGAAAGTTGATAACAAAGTCCACTAAGTGCTCCTCTGACCATCGGAAGTGCTGTGGTATCCCTCCTCTCCTTCTCACCCGCAATAAATAATTTTTTTTAATCTTTTTGAAACAGGTCTCCCTGTTGCCCCAGCTGGCCTGGCACTCACTATGTAGACCAGGTTAACCTCGATATCAACGATTCGCCTGCCCCTGCCTCCCAAGTGCTAGGACTAAAGGCATGGGCCACTACACCCAACATACATGAATGCTTTTATTTAAAAAAGGAGGAGGAGGAGGAAGAGGAAGAGGATAAAGAAGAGGAGGAGGAGGAAGAAGAGGAAGAAGAGGAAGAAGAGGAGGAGGAGGAAGAGGAAGAGGAGGAGGAGGAGGAGGAGGAGGAGGATTATTTAAGAGCTATAGATATAGCTCAATGGCAAAGGACCTGTGTTTGGTTCCCAGGGCCCACATGGTAGCTAACAACTGTCTGTAACCCCATCCAGGGGATCAGACACCCTCTTCTGACCGTGCATTTCATGACACAGGTGCACTTACATACATGTAGGCAATATACTCATACACATAAAATTAAAAAAAAACAACAACAAAAAAAAACCTAGAGTCTTGAGGAAGTTTTCTCAAAACTGACTGCACTAAGTAAAAGTCACAATTTGCCAATAAATACACAGTGGAACTCGGGGCCTCTGTTCCTCAGCAGAATGTCTCCTAGTCACCCACTCTTGAGACTCTAATTAAGTGTTGAATCCTTCCTTCATGTTTCACCATCTCTCTTCAAGGATTCTCTGAACCCGTCATGGTGGACATAGCAAAAATTAATAAAGATTCTTTCTTTTAATATTTTGTCAAATAAGAGCTAGGGGCATGGCTCAAAGATCAGAGTCCAAGGTTCAACCCCCAGAATCCAGACAAAAATATGTCTCTGAAGAAGTTTAGAGAAGGCTGACAACAGAAATCCCATGTTACAAAGCCTTAAAAACAACCAAAATCATTACAGTCTCTGAAAATGGCTATAATAATGTGGGAAGCATTTTCATAAGACCTTTACTTAAAATTTAACTGTAATTTGTTCTAAGAATTTAATGCAATTTGATAATAAATTGCTTTTTTTTTGAAAAACAAAAGAAAAAGAATGCCAAGACTTCACATGCACGGCGGTGTGCTTGCACACGCTTGGACATGCACACAAGATCATGATTTTTTTTTTTCTAAAAAGAGCACTGTGTGGGGCTGAAGAGATGGCTCAGTGGTTAAGAGTCCTGGCTGTTCTTACAGAAGACCCAGGTTTGAATCTCAACACCCACATGACAGCTAACAACCATTCATAACTCCAGCAGCAGGGGATCTGAAGCCCCCTTCTGTCCTCTGTTGTCACTGCACAACATGGGTGCACTTGCACACATGCAGGCATAACACTCATACACATAGAAAACAAATAAAAATTTAAAAGTACCATCTTAGCCGGGCGTGGTGGCACACACCTTTAGTCCCAGCACTTGGGAGGCAGAGGCAGGCGGATCTCTGTGAGTTCAAGGTCAGACTGGTCTACAGAGTGAGTTCCAGGCAGCTGAAGCTACAGGGAGACCCTGTCTAAAAAAAACCAAAAAAAAAAAAAAAAAAATACCATCTTAGAGCTTGACATAATGACTGACATCTGTATTACCAGTACTCTGAAGACTGAACTAGGAGGGTTACCATGAGTTCAACAGTGAGTTTCAGGTCAGCGTGGAATACAGAGTGAGACTGTCTCAAGAAAAGAGATTTAAAAAAAAAATACTCCTTATTTCTAGAAATTGATAGTATCATACTTACTGATTTGGGTCTGATCCATAATCCACCAGAACATCAACTAATTTCATGTGGCCTAATAAGGCTGCAACAAAAAGTGCTGACTGGCCCAGGGTATTAACAGCATCAACATAAATTCCTGCAAAGCAAATACTGAATCAATGCAATTATTAAGAAATTTCTTGGAATGGAACTAGGGAAATTCATATTAGGGGGAAATTTTTGGTTTGTTTTGTGGTATTTGTGACAGGGTCTCCCTATCGCCCAAACTGGCAAGGAACTTGCTATGTAGACCAGGCTGGCCTCAAACTCAGAGATTTGCTTGCCTCTGCCTCCTGAGTGCTAGGATTAAAGCTGTGTGTCATCACATGGGGCTTTTTGTGTGATTTTTAGATTACAGAAAAAACTCTTTTAAGTGTCTGTGTGTGCCTGAGAAGACCAGAAGAGGGTATCGCATCCACTAGAACTGGAGTTACAGAAGGGAGTAAGTTGCCCAACATGGGTGCTGGGAACCAAATTCTTCACTGCTAAGGCACCTCTAGAGCCCCATATCTGTTTTGGATTTTTGAGACAGGGTTACATATAGCTCAGGCTGGCCTTGAACTCTTGATCCTTCTGTCTCCAACTTTCAAGTGCTAGAATTACAAGCCTGTGCCACCAAAATTTTTAATTTTTCTTTCTGCTATTTATTTATTTATTTATTTTAAATAAAGGTATGCTATGTTGCCCAGGCTGGCCTGGAATTTAAGATTCTCCTGTTTTAGCCTACAGAGTAACTGAAATTGGGAGCCATATTACCAGGAACTGAGAAATTTTTTTTAATTTTTATTTATTATTTTTATTTTATATGTATGAGTGTATTACCTGCATGCACATGAGTGCACCCATGTCATGCCTGTGAAGGTCAGAGGAGGGCGCCAAATCCCCTGGCATTGGAGTTAAGGACAGTTGTTCCCTGCCATGTGGGTGCTGGGATTCAAACCTGGGTCCTCTATGAGAACAGCCAGTGCTCTTAAGGGTTGAGCCATCTCTCCAGCTCCAAATTTTTTTTTTTTTAATCTTCAGTTGCTAGGCATGGTGGCACATACCTTTAATCCCAGTGTTCAGGAGGCAGAGGCAAGTGGATCTCTATAAGTTACAGGCCATCCAGGGCTACATAATGAGACCCTTGTCAAAACAATAATAATAATAATAAATCTTGAGCTGTTGAGAATGGCTCGGTGAATAAAGATGCCTGCCACCAAGCCCGATGGTCTGATTTCCATCACTGCAAACCACATGGTAGGAGACGACTCCTGCAAGTTGTCCTCTGGCCTCCATACTTACACTGAGAACCAGTCTTCCTCTGCCTCCCAAGTTCTGGGATTAACGGTTGTACCACCCCACCCAGCTTGGTTTGATTTGAGACATGGGTCTCACCCAGCAGACTATGATGGCCATAAACTCCCTATTGTAGCCAAGGCTGGTCTCAAACTTGCCATTTAACCAGGGAGCTCTACAGATACAGCAACTTGAAATTTATTTACAAGGTAGTTTCATGTATTATTATTGCTTTTGAGGTACTGGAGATTGAATCGAGGTACCTGGAGACAGACTTGGAACTTTCAAGATGCTAGGTGAGAGCTCCACCCCCTCAGCTATATCCACAGACCCAAACTGTTTTTAAGGGCAAAAAAATGTGGGACAGCTGCATAAGGTGGCCCAGGCCTAAAATCCTAGTACTCAGGAGGCAGAGGCAGGCCTCTGTGAGATCAAGGCCAGCCCTGACTTCCAGGTCAGCTGTGACAACAGGGAGATCTTGTCTCAAAAAAGATTTAAAAAGACGGGCATGGTGTCACACACCTCCAGCACATGGGAGGCAGAGGCAGGAGGATCTCCATGAGTTCAAGGCCAGCCTGGTCTACATAGTGAGTTCCAGGACAGCTGGGGCTACAGGGAGACCCTGCTTCAAAAAGACCAAAAAAGTGGACTAGCAAGATAGCTCAGCTGGTAAATATTCTCCAGACAAGCATGATAACTTAGTTTCTTCCCTGGGACCCACAAGGTAGACAACTCAGAGGACATGTCTTCTGACCTTCACACACACACACACACACACACACACACACACACACCCTAGAACAGGCATGTGTGCATATGCACACAAATAAATAAAGTGCATTTAATTTTTTTTTTTTTTGTATTTTTGAGACAGGATCTCCCTATAGCCCCAGCTGGCCTGGAACTCACTATGTAGGCCAGGCTGGCCTTGAACTCAGAGATTCTGCCTGTCTCTGCCTCCCAAGTGCTGGAATTAACGTGCCACCACGTCCAGTCACATTGAATTTTTTTTTAAGTTAAAAACGAAAGTCAAAGAATGGAGAATCAGGAGTTCGAGTCCCAGCACCCACATAGCAGCTATGAACCATCCTTAACTCCAGTTCCAGGGGAATCCAACACCCTCTTCTGACCTCCTCGGCATTGCACAACATGGGTGCACTCACATACATGCAGGCAATACACTCATACACATAAAAATAATAAATAAGG